CAGAGAGTTTATAAATGATTGTTTGAGGTCAAGTTTCTTCGGTACGTATTTTGTTAAATCCTCTTCAAATTTTTGAGGTAAGTGTAGTCATATGTTGTATGTTAAATTATTTTATTTCATACTTTAAAATACGGAATTCGATTTATGAATATGATATGGGTCCCATATGTTTAAGTTCAATGGACCGGAGTTTAGTTGCGCTACGCATTTGAATTATAGCAACAAATTATGGTTCTTAATTCTCGTGTCTCCCTATGTATGTTATGATTATGTACATGAATTATAGCCACCTAAGTTTGGTTTCTAATCCTCGTGTCTCCTTATATACGTTAAGAATTCCTAAATTTTAAATCTGAATTACGATTTATGTGGCTATTTTTTTGGGTTTTATCTCATTATTTATAATTTTCCCCCTTTTAGGTAATTGGGGTTCGAGGCATTGGAGTTTGAAATTGGCCTCTGGTTGTATAATAAAGAGGAGATAATTTAGGAATTTTTAACAATAAATTTTATGATTAATAAAGTGTTATTTTTAATTATTGTAACTTTGGGAATAATTATCTTTTATGAATATTATATTTTTACAATATGTATTTAACGACACAAAGGGTAAGTTTTGGGTCGTTACAGAGTTGGCCTTGCAGCTCTCTATAGCTCCATCAGCTTTGAACTTCATCGTGAAACCCAATTGTATTCTATTGCTTTCTTCCCTTGTGGTGGAAGTTAAGATCCTCCTTTTACAATGCTTTATTTTTTTCAAGTTGGATCCTTCCACTTGGGATCTTGTAAAGCATAACTTATGCTTTAGGAATACTAACATGAGAGAGATTAGTGGTAAAAGTTCTACAAGATGAACAGAAATAGTGATAAGTCACAAAACTAGACACGGGAGGTTGAGTGCATGAGCTAACACCCTTCCAAATGGCAACAGGTGCATCATGATGAGTTTAACGAGTACTTATAGTTGGAACATGCATTCTCAAAGTAGAGACTTCAAAACAACTGTCTAACTAACCTTGAAGCACCAATGAACTTTTTTCTCTTTTATTTTGCTTAAATTCGTTGCAAACAATTTTTGTTTATAACATCTGGTATCAAATCTAGACATGGATAAATTGCTAGATCAACGTAGAACGTTTAAAGGAGGAATTGGAAATTATATCTAACTCCACTACACGATAAACGAGCTCTTTGACATATTAGGTTCCAAATTGCCATATTTTTCAATTGACAGATATGTTGATCAGGGGCAACTGAAATTTAGAGGAACTAGCTGAAAAAACAGAACAAAATTCCAGTAAAACGTCAAAAATTTCGTATTTGAACACCATTAACGTACTTGTTATTTCAGTATTTCCAAAACTCGAGATTTGAAGTTTAATCAAATTCCTTAAGTTAATTAAATGAGTTTTGTTGTTTTCCAGGCTTTTTACCGTTATAAATGTGAAATTTGAAATTTAGTTATTTTCCGCAAATCTTGTTAGTTAAATCAGTTACAAAAGAATATAACGTAGCAATCCGGGTTCACGAAACTCGAGGCGTTACACCCTTCCAAATGGCAACAGGTGCATCATGATGAGTTTAATGAGTACTTATAGTTGGAACATGCATTCTCAAAGTAAAAGTAGAGACTTCAAAACAACTGTCTAACTAAACCCCTTGGTAGCGAGATGGCCTTTATTACGGATCTCAACTCAAGTACATGGAGGTTTCAAGTAGTTGTGGGATCATGCGGCTGTTTTAAGTTCTATTTTTAGGGCCTCAACGTAAGTTTTTTTTTTTTTTTGAAGTATTCTGTAATGTGTGGAATGGAGGAAGAAATGAATATTATTTTCCACAACCTAGTTGTGTATTTAGAGGCTATAGAACCTTGAAGCACCAATGAACTTTTTTCTCTTTTATTTTGCTTAAATTCGTTGCAAACAATTTTTGTTTATAACATCTGGTATCAAAGCTAGACATGGTTAAATTGCTAGATCAACTTAGAACGTTTAAAGGAGGAATTGGAAATTATATCTAACTCCACTACACGATGAATGAGCTCTTTGACATATTAGGTTCCAAATTGCCATATTTTTCAATTGACAGATATGTTGATCGGGGGGCAACTGAAATTTGGAGGAACTAGATGCAAGAAAGATAATGGAATGTGCTGGTCTTGTTTTAAGGTCATTTTGCAGTTCTTCAATGCTGGTAGAACATCATTGCAACATTGTTGAAATTCACGAGATGAAAAAAGCCAAAAGAGGTGCAACAAAAAGTGCAACTTCGGGGGAACGAAAAGACTGTTATGATTCTCTCAACAGGTACCTTGGGGTCATGAGAGAAAGTAACAAAGAAGGAAAGACTTTGCAACCATTTATTTTGAAAGACTTTGCCATCAAGAATTACAGCAGTTAGTGGAGCAGGAAGCGAAGAATAAAATTAAATCATTGGAGAATCTACAGCAAATATTTATTTCCACTTTATATTTTATCACAAATGGTAACGAAGAATGAAAATAATCGCTATAAAAATTCACCCTTGAGGACAATGGCGTCTTTAAGGGGATGGAATGATACAAATCTCAACTTAAGCACCCGGAGCATTCAAACAGTTGGCTATGTTTGAAAAGGTATAATCGAGTATTTAGGTGTTTTCTTTTTATGAGAAAAGGCATAAGCCTCACAGAAACCAAAAATTTCAAAAAATTATCTAAATGCAAAATAAGCTCATAGTATAACAATTTAAATTGTGCAAAAAAAAAAAAGAAATGTTATTTAGTTGGTAGGAGCAATGGACATTCTGAAAGTGGGTCTATGAAAAACACAAATTTTTAATGTTTAGTGGACAATGGATTATTCCCAAAATGAATCAGTAAGAATTTTTTATGCTTCCATAAGCCTTGAGACAGTGCTGTGAGGTGTATGCCTCACACAACTGAGGAATTCATCTCAAAAAATAGCCCCATGATCCCACAAACTAAGGAAATAAAATGGTTGGGCAAACCTTCTACAAAAAGCCCTTGGATTACTAACTAGAGCTAAAACAAGTGATCGTGCAATCTATAAGTAATATATTGAAGTTTATTCTTGAGCCAAGTTCTCTTTACCAGAGAGGAATTTATGCATGAGTAAGAGATATCTTTTTATATCCTTCTTGGACTATTATTCTCAGATTAAGTTTCATTTGAACTGCTCAATTTAATATTTCTTTTAGGTTCATGCTAGAATTAGGATGTTTTATTAATTTTTTTCTACATACATTTGACTATCCTACAAGCAGACAACATTTGTTCTAAGAAAAATAACAATTGAACACATTGTCAAGTCCAGAAAGTTTGTTCCATTGAGTTCAAGTCAAAAGCCTTAAATCTCTTCTGTTTTCCCAATCTCTCGTATTATATGCCAATTAAAGCTTCTTTTTCATTTTTTCCTTTCTTATTAATTAAAACCATTTGACAGTTAAAAATTGTTCTCATTTCTTTTAGGGTTATCTTGGAAATGTTAACAAGGTTCCTATCTTAACCAGTCATGAGTTGACTTTTGCCATGTATAGCAAATATATTTAAAGTCGGTAATGTAGGAGGCAATTTAGGCAATATCTGCGATTTTTTTTTTCTTTTTCAATAATCCTTTTGGCTTTACAATCAATCCCATGACTCTAAAGAATACGAGCTAGTTTGTTGAAACTGAGACTCTTCCTTGATAACATCTATATACTTCTCATTTTTATTGCTAGAAGAAAAGTGGATCACCCTTTCATCTTTTGCTTAATTTTATTCTACACCTATCTGTTCAGTATATCAAAGATCAAACTCTCAGCACGCTTAAAGAGTCTTGAGCAAAGGTTGCACCAAATCCGAAGCTTCATCACAAACTTAGAAAATTTAAGTTTGATTCAAATACTAAATTTAAATTTGATGGATTGATTGCAAGGATACATAAATCAGAACACTGGTTACTTCACATAGACAAAATATCACTGGATAATTTTGCTTCAGAATGTGTGAAAAATAGCAAGACATGCTAGTCATTTGATTTTTGAAGTTTGTAACAAGAGTAAGTTTTGAGAATTCATTTCAGCAGAGTGCAAGTGTGATGTTCTCGAGTTTCCCTTTCCCTTCAATATTTTGTGTCATATGCAGCCTTATAGGTTAAGAGATCCTTGCTTTCATTAGGCATCTAATCAACTGGTTTCCTAAATAAGACTCCTAACTTTGTTAAAAGACTCCTAACTTTGCAAGCCTGACTATTGGGAAGAATATTGTAGATATGACCAACTTCATCTTGGAAACGAGAAATGCATTGAAGTATCTTATCTTTACACCTCTTCTATTTGTATGCCAACTTATTCCCTTATGTCAATCGCATATAGGTTGGAAATTCATGTAGATGAAGGAGGGTAGAAACAATCTTAAGAGTTTGACATATTTCCCAAGTGGTGTTCGTACCAACCACAAGAGATTACTGTGCTCATTAAGGACTATTCTGATAACACCTACTTCTGAGTGAAGGGGATGTAGATTTATATGGGCAAATATCATGTATTTCTGCCATCAACTAATCAAAGTAAGTTTAGTCTTACATAAACAGAAATGATTAACAGAAATAAGAATTTGTTAATTGGAGGTGACAAAATAATTAGCAACGTTTAAAGGGGACAGGGAGTTAGGGGAAGCAAAATGTGGAAGGGGTAGCAGTACACAGGAGGTAGAAATCAGTGATAAAGAAGTAAAACAGCTAGGTTTAGCTGAAATCATGTACCAATAAACCCAGAATTCAAGCAAACAACTGCAAATGGATTAGTCTGTTCAACACAATCCATTCAACATTGTACCTAAGCTGATACAGTGCATGACTGTGTTTGTTAGACTGATAGATGTATAACTTGAAATGCAATTCTAAGAAGTCGAAGGAATGAGAAGGAGAAAATAAGATGTAGTACAATTAACATTTTGATAAGTTGTTAGCATTATCAGTGTGATATATTCAGATCAAAGATAAAGCAATTGAACTTACAAACAAGCCCCGTGTTGTCAATGCCATATCTGTTACAAGCTTCAAAATCCTTGAGATCCACGCAATCTTCCACTCTTTTGCTGCATTCCACTCCATATGTTATTGACCATTGCACTCATACCGAAATCATTATATCTTTGCAACTATGAAAGCAGCAACGGCAATTTGAACTTAACTATAGCTAAGGTCAATTGCAAAAGTTTTCTTAATCACTAACATTTGATTCCATACAAACAATCCAAAATGAAGGTTAGGAACAATTATATAAAATGCTAAACATGCTGATGTATGTAAAAAGTAAAATAGAAGAATAAAAACATAGAAAACAGTGACAAATGATGCGACAGCAAGACATGGATTACCAATTTTCCTACACACAAATTATGATTTCAAATAATTTTAATTCTAAAATGAAATAAGGGTGCCAGGTGTGTTTGGCATAGACGGTTTAAGAAATTGAGTATAAAATTAGAATGGACAGTATTAGGGTGGATCAATGTGAAAAGTGCTCATAATTTTTTTATTAAAAAAAAGCTATTTGCACCATGTTTCTCAACCCGGCTGTCATGGCTAACTCCTGTGGTAACTTTTGTAATTGGACCATTTTCTTTTGGGCTTGTATTATTTGTAGGCTAGCCCAAAGCTCTTTACTTTTAGAGTGTTGTATATAGGATTGTATTGTAAACTTTGGATGGGGAATGATTTTGATGAATTGAATTGTGGTTTCCTCTACAGTCTACTCTCTCTTCTTCTCCTTCTTGCTATGGTTCTTTCTGATGTTTCTTCCCTGTAGCCTCTCTTCTTCTCTTACCTGAATTCTTTTCCCCTTCTTCCTTCTATGAATCTGTTTTCTCCACTTTGTTGTTTCTGTTCTTCTTCTGCTTTCTCCTCCTCTTCTCTGAATTAATTCATCAATTCAGCTTTATCTTACTTTTAACATTTTACCATCCCCAATTTTATTTTCCATTTTATTTGGTTATAAATTCAGCTCATTCAGCTGAAGGAATTCCATATTTGATCTCTGCTATTAATAGCTGCTTATTAGTTGAGTTTTACAGAAATTGAGCTCCAACCATAACAATTGGTATCACAGCAGCTACAATCCTTGGGTGTCTCACGAGTGGATAGCATAAGGGAAGAATTTAATAGGACTCATGAACAAATGATTTCAATATTGACTAAAATGATGGAGGCTCAATCAGCACATATCATTGATTGTGTTGCTGGAATATCTGACAATCTTTGCAATGTGAAGGGCAAAGGTTTTGAAGGCCATTCACCTTTTCCATTCGCTGAAACCACAACTGGTGTTAGCAAGGTAATTAAAAATTCTATTACCTTAGAGAGTTCCAAAAAAGACATAGTCTCTTGAAGTTATTTAGTTAGTTCAAATGATAATGTAAAGCATGTGATATTGTTGTAAATGATGAGCATTTCTATCCGTCAATGAATGAACTCAAACGCGATGCTGAGAAGTTTAGGGATGATGACTCTGTATTTGGATTTTGCTCAAGACCCGTTGGACAAGAGAATTATAGTGCAATTAGAGCTGAGAAGTATAGTAATTTTGAAGTCCTATATTGTGAGAATGCTAACAGCGTGCCCATTCCACTGATTTCCAAATAAACATGGTCTGATCAAATCAAAGGATCCGGAAAGAGCGTGCTAATTGCTGATGGAGATGAGGATGAAGTTCAAGAAATTACACCCAGCTCAGTTGGTGAATATACACTTGATGGAAAATACAGCTTCAGAACCATTGGGAATGGCAATTATGAAACAGATAAGGATGCTCTAAGTAGCGTCCAAGAGAAAATGCAATTTGGGATCTCTTTAATTTCATCATGGTATGAGCAAGCAAGTGTTTAGAAGTTTGAAAATGAGGAAGTAGCGAGGGTTGAGCCAATGGAATTTCAAATGGTGGAAAGCAATACAAAAGTATCAACATCTGATGCTATAGACTTCAAGGAAAAGGTTGCTATTGAATTAAATAATTCAGAAATAGAGGTTGCTGACAAAGTAACTATAGAGGAGATTTCAACCTCCAAGGCCGAAATAGAGTTTGGGATGACAAATGAAGCTAATTCTGGAGTAGCTACAGCCTGTACCAGTGCGGGTGCACGAAAAGTGAGATTAGAGATAGTATTATCATCTGGGAGCAATGATGGTGAAGCGGTGAAACTATGTGTGTTTGATTTGAGAAGGGGCCAAAATGAAGGGCATGAGTTGGACAAGATTCTCTTCTTCCATCTTGCTGATTTGCCATTGACCACTCATCTTTTTGTCATTGGCCTCAGCGAAGGATTTGTCACTTCGACTAGAATATTCTCTCTAGAAGCTGCAATTGATGTTCAGTCACTTGTCCAAATATTAGAATCCAGTGGTGGGAACTCAAAGTGCTACTCGCTTCCAATTTTACAGGACGTGTTGGTGTCCACAACACTTTCTCCTGATGACACTATGAACCTTTTTACATATACTGTCCTAAGGTGAACCCCTCAAGCTCTATCCTCTGGAGTAAGTTTTGGTCAAATCTACGTAAAGAGAGCACTGCATGTAATACTTCTTCTGGAGCTGTAATGGCAAATTCTTGTCCAAGTGTAGATCAATATTATAATTCAGGCAATACATTCCCAGCCGAAAATAGCAGTTATCATGTCGAGAAGCCCTTGCAACATGACAAATGATCTAACGAAAGGATGGTTTTCTTGTTACCAATATTTGGGGTGCAGAGTTTGGTAGCTCAATTCCAAGAAGCCCAATAGTTTGGCTTAAGAATGAAAAGAGTGGTGCAGTTAATGTCAACTAGGCATATGCCACCTTGCACTACTTGCTTAATCCAAGAGCGGTGAAGAAAATACTAACAGCATACAAAGAAGACATTCCGACTTTGAACCTTAAGGACAATGTCAATTTAAGGGGAAGGGATGTCGTGGCTAACTATTGTGGTACCTTTTGTAATTGGACCATTTTTGTTTAGGCTTGCATTATTAGTGGGCTAGCCCAAAGCCCTTTACTTTTAGGGTGTTGTATATAGGATTGTATTGTAAACTTTGGATGGGGAATGATTTTGATTAATTGAATTGTGGTTTCCTCTCCAATCTTCATCTCTCTTCTTCTAGGTTCTTCTTCTCCTTCTTCTTCTCGTTCTTGCTATGGTTCTTTCTGCTGCTTCTTCCCTATTGCGTCTCTTCTTCTCTTACCTGAATTCTTCTCCCTTTCTTCCTTCTATGAATTTGTTTTCTCCTCTCTGCTGTTTCTGTTCTTCTTCTGCTTTCCCTGCTTTCTCATCCTCTTCTCTGAATCAATCGATTCAGCTTTCTCTCTCTAATTCTTATTACTTTTTAACATTTCACCCTCCCCAATTCTATTTTCCATTTTATTTGGTTATAAATTCAGCTCATTCAGCTGAAGGAACTCCATATTTGATCTCTGTTGTTTATTGTTGTTGGTTGAATTTTACAGAAATTGAGCTCCAACCATAACACGGGCCTAAACCTATCTCCTCTCCCCGTAAGAAACATAGTCCGAATAGCATTCTTTTAATAAAAAAATTTATGAGTACTTTCCACATTGATCCAGTCTACCTTGTACTATCCCCTCTAATTTTATACTTAATTCCAGGTATGGTCTAACCCAGGGGAGCATAGGTAAAAGATTAAGGAGGAAAACAAAAGCATTTTCCCCATTTTATTGATGAAAAACCTTCCGGGAAAATTAGAACAATACGGCAAACAAAATAAGTTGCCAGTAATAGAGCAAATAGTTTGTAGCATATACTCACTGTATAAGAAGCTTGGGAGCATTAGAAACAGGTAATATGTAACAGTAACAAGCATCTCTGAAGCTATTGGACACAGAATCTGAATTTTCTTCAACTAGATCGTCATTATTTATTCTATAGCACGGTATCAAATTAAACCCAATTCTCGTTTTTCTAGATATCTGATTCAAACCGATTTCGGGCTGATTTTCTGCAAAATCAATCAAAAGATCAAGATTTGCGTTCCATGAGTACAAATAGAAGCGTGCAATATATGCATTTGAATATAAATTGCAACCACCAGAATCAGATGACGGACGGTGAAGAAGGGCCCGGCGGAGGATTTTCCAGCGCAATGAAGGTTTTGAAGTGAGATCTGTGCTATTGGACACCATTGCTGCGTTCCTGTTTGGCATAGTTGATAAATATTGAGTGAGACAGATAATGCGTGTATTATATATGGGATCTCCAAAGCTATTGGAAATCTAGCAAGTAGATCATTAACATTTGACTTTCGTGGCTACAGTACAACTAGGCCCCATATCCATTTTGGAGAAGAATAAATTCTAGAATAATGATTGATGGGAAGAATATGTGTTTAAAAAATAAGAAGAATTTTTGAGTTTATGTGTAATATTATTTTATTGATAGAATGTGTGGTTGAAATGAAGAAAGAGAAAAAAAATGAGAAAGAGAATGGATGTCAAACAGGGGTTAAGCCCCTCGAGCTATATTGAAATTTTCATTTTTCTATTTATTTTCAACCACACATTCTTTAATAAAATAATATTTTTCTTCAAATCAATAATTTTTCCTTTTTTTTTTAACACACATTTCCCATCAATCTATTATTTCAAAATACATTCTTGCAAAATAATGTGGCTCAAACACACCCTAAAAATGAGGGATAGGAACGAGATATTTTTCATTTTAGTTCCATCCGATATTTTTGTTACCTTACCTCATCCTCATACCCAATTAAAGCGGGACACGACAAGTTCGAGACGAGATCGGGATCGGGCAGGGAAGGTTCCTTGCCCTATTTATCGCCCCATTTATTTTATTATTTGCTTTTTTTAAAAATATATCTTTAGTTAGTAAATATTATTACTTTTTTACCAATTTGTTAAAAACAACTTATGTTCTCTTTGAAAATGATGATAAATATATTATTTTTGTTTAATAAAAAACTTAAATTTAAAATTAACTTTAAACGGGACGGATAGGGGACATGGATTATGTTTTTGGTACCCGTCCCGTATAAGTTTCAGGACAATAACAATCGTCCCGTCCCTACCCTGTTTACCCGGTTATGGGGGTAATCCTTGACCTACTTGGGGCGGGGTTCACGAGTATCAAGTTAAACGAGTTTTTTTCCATCCCTTTTCTTTAGCTCCCGTTTGACCCAATTAAAATTATAATATATTTTCTCACTCTTCTTTTCAATTACAAGTTTTTTAATAAAATAATATTGTATATAAATTAGAAAAATTTCTTTCTTTTTTAAGAACTCATTCTCCAAAAAGACACTATTTTGTAAATTATAATATCAAATAATGGGGACCAAATGGGGCTTAATTTAAAAAAGTTTTATTAGGAAGAAAAGATGATTTTTATCATTAGCTTAAACTAAACAAAAATTTAAAGATAAATCAACTTACCCATATCTTTTGTTTCTTTTCCTTTTAATTAAACATAAGAGCAAAGTTGTATTTTAACAAGAAATTGGATTTTTAATTGGGTGATTAATCACACCACAATTTTTATAAATGCACCATACTCTAATTGTATTATACATCTATAATCTTTATTGATTGCCATGTTTATATCCCTATGTTGTAAATAGTAAGTTATTGATGAATGACAATTGTACCATGTAACCCTAAATATTATTACCATATGTATCCTCATTCATTCCATATAAATATAAAGTTTTGGTTCTCATTATAATATACACAAATCTATTGACTTCTCTTATTCTGTTATCTTTTTCTCTCTTTTTACAACACGTTATCAGCACGAAATCTTAATTTAGTTTAGAGAAGGTAGTAATTTTTTATTTTTTTTGACATAATCATCAATCATATGTACCAAAAATCAATTTGGTGGCATGTCAATTATTTTATATACACGTGCATTATAAATTGGTAGGAATTTCTACTAAAATCAATATGAATTTTGTGGTTGAAAACAATTTGTCGCAATTAGGAAAATTTCTTCCTAGACACGCTGTAATTTGTAAAAGTCTACCCTAATTTGCATTGATCTTCATCGCAATTTACCTTTATAGTTTCTACCCCAATTTGTATTAATTGCTAATTTTTTTATACATACATGTGAATTGTTCTGTACCATGCATGATGCCAAAATTGCTATGTCAACAAAGAAGTTTGTGCATGACAGTGAATTAGGTCAATCTATGACCGTTTGTGTCTGATAGTAAATTAAGTTTTATGAAGACGTGTTCGTTTTCACGTTTGTATAGATCAATTCATAAATGCATATTTATTTTAATTTTTCTTCTTCCTTATTTTAGCAACAAAAAAAAATAATAATAAAAAAAATACATGATTATTATTAAATACCATTTGTGTCTTTAAACTGATTAAATAATTTTAAATTAATAATTTATGATGTTGTTATTCTTGAAGTAACACAACATTATAATTAATATTATAGAAGAATATTACTCTCTTGAAGAGCATGAATTATAATTTTCAATATTTCAGAAAAATATTGACATATTACTCTCTAAGAAGCAATAGTAAAATACAACGTGCTCCCGAAGTAGTACATATTTCGAATAATATACTATTTTAAATTAATGTTTATTTTTGAAGGAAAACACGTAACTTAAGTCATATTGATATTGACTGTTGATATTTAATCATATTCTTTCAAACTAATTGTATTTTCTTTTGCTTTATTGTGTAGTTAATTCAAATGGCAAATATCACGAAACTTGAGTTTGCTGCACTTGACATATCTGGCAAAAACTATTTGTCATGGGTACTCGATGCATATTTCCATATTGTCTCAAAAGGTTTGGGAGATATAATAAAAGAAGGAAACAAAGAATCCTTGCAGGATTGTGCAAAAGCTCTCATCTTCTTTCGTCATCATCTTCACGATGGATTGAAAATTGAATATCTAACTGAAAAAGATTTACAGGTTCTTTGGAAAAAATTAACTGAAAGATTTGATTATCAGAGGATTATAGTCCTCCCCAAAGCCCGTTATGAGTGGATACATCTTCGTTTGCAAAATTTTAAAACTGTTAGTGAGTATAATTCTGAACTATTCAGAATATGTTCAAAACTGACATCGTTTGGAGAAAAAATCACCGATGAAGATATGTTGGAGAAAACGTTTTCCACTTTTCGAGCCTCGAATGTGCTCCTGCAGCAGCAATATCGTGAGCGTGGTTTCAAAAAGGTACTCATAACTCATATCTTGCCTGCTCGTGGCTGAACAAAATAATGAACTGTTAATGAAAAATCACGGGTTACGTCCAATTGGTTCTGTACCATTGCTTGAAGTAAATGATACTGCATTGTTTGAAGCAAATACAATATCAAGACAAGGACGTGCACGTGGATGTGGACGCGGACGTGCACGTGGAATAAAACATGGACGAAATAATCAATAAAATTATCAGCAACAAGACAATAATTTCAAAAGGCACAAAGCGAACAAAAGTAGCACATCCAAAAAGGAGCATGAAAAAAGTTGTTTTAGATGTGGAATGAAAAGGCATTGGGCACGTACTTGTTGTACGACAAAACACCTTGTGGATCTCTACCAAAAATTAATTAAGGGAAAGGAAAAAGTGGAGACACATTTTGCTAATTATGATTGTCCAATTGATGTGACTCATTTGGATGTTTCTGATTACTTTACTGATCCAAATGAGAATATTGACCATTTGATTGTAGGTGGCGTAATGGAAGATATAGATTAATTTACTTTCTAGTATTCCCTTTCGTTTTAGAAATTCAATTTAAATTATGTTCTTATTTTTCGCAAAATAATTGAAACATTATTATGCGTCATTAATTTTATAATACTGAATTATGTTTACTCTTTTAAATTTAAATTCAA